AGAGAGAGAGAGAGAGAGAGAGAGAGAGAGAGAGAGTCTGGACAGAAGTGACAAGGCACAGCTCTACCGTTTTGTTGGATATTAACCACCTTAGCTATGACAACAAATATCACGTGTGTGCTATTTCAGTGTTGATGTAACACCACCACAGCTCTTTACCTGCTTTTTATTTTAGATTGTGGTAATCTTGGTAATTGTTGACAATATTTCATAGTTTATTTGACTGAGCTTTGCAGAATTCAGTGTCATCCTGTAAAGAAAAATTAAGCTTTGACTGAGCCAGCTGATCAATGCGTCGGCTATCATATTATCTATTATAGTGTAATACTGAGGACCACCGGTTCATTACTTGTGTTTTCCCCTCATAGGTAAATTCCTGCCGATGAAAACGATGTTGGGTCCCAGATATGACGACCAGGTTCTAGAGGAGAACAGGTTTCACCCGAGCATGCTGTTCAACTATTTAAAAAGTCTGAAAGTAAGTAACGCTGTGACGACAGAGTGACATTTTGAAGTGGAAAAACCCACATCTCACAATGTCTTTATTTTTGTGGTCTTTCTTCAGGTGAAAATGGGTTTGCTGGTGGATTTGACGAACACGACGCGTTTTTATGACCGCAACGACATTGAAAAAGACGGCATAACATATGTGAAGGTTCCGTGTAAAGGGTACGAGTAAATTCATACTATATATAATAATACTAATAATCGTTTATCCAGAACCACAGTGCCATGAGTTAAACTAATTGTGAGTAAAACCAGTGTCATTGTGATTGTTTTAGCCACGGAGAATGCCCTTCAATAGAGACGACGGGAATGTTCATCAGGCTCTGTGAAAACTTCATCGAGAAGAATCCTGAAGAATTAATAGGTAAGAAAACCAGAGCCAATCGATAACTGATTTTGTGCTTCTTTATATTTTCTTCAATAGTCAGCGATGTTTATCTGACTGTGAAATAGTTTTCATCTCGAAGGCTTAAATAATCTGGAATCTTCCTGAGATATTCAAAAGAAGCATCGTGTGTTGTGTTGTTGGCACTGTGTTTGCACCTCTTTGATGGTTTGATTACATTTTGTTTTACTTTTGTTTATGTAACTGTCAGTTTTAGAATATTTGCAAATGATGAAATGCTTTGATAATTTGCATTGTTTCATTTTTCCCTCATATAAGGGACGTGAGCGTGATGTCAGAAATTAAAGTGAATGTAAAAACATTTTTTTTTCAGTTCTTTTAATCTTTGAATTAAAGTTGATTTCATAATAAATATGAAGTAATATTTAGTTCAGTGGAAGATAATATATTTGATTTCCTCGCAGACTCAAATGGTGAAAATCAGCATTGTTAATTTACAGACAGATTTAAGGATTGCATTAGTGTTCCAAGTAGTTACATTCGGAACAAGGAAGGCCTCTTTGCGTTTCTCTGTGTTTTCAATTTATATAGATTATAAAGATTAAATCAATGTGACTCACGTCTGCTCACAGAAGAATATGAAGATCTATGAAAGCAGAAGTTGGCATTGGAAATTCATTTGCACATTGAATAATTTACTCAGACTGTTGGAACAGCTTTGAGATTTAGATTTAATTTAGATATTTGTTTTTGCACCCCGCAGTTCAAGCTGAGCAACGTCTCGAAAGCCTTGAATCTTAAGAACGAGCACCTCTTGCTTGCATACTCTCCGCCTGAGTGCAGTGACCATATTGTATCTCAATAATAGATTTACTGTGGTGGCTGTGTAGTTCCCTACAATTTCTGACAACTATATTTATTTTTTAAAAGATTATTCAGTCTGTCCTTTACAAATAAGGTAAGTTACTAAATGCTTAATAACTGAAAACTGACACCGAACAGGCACGAAATAATAGTTTTATGAATGTTGGCCTTGATCCATTTTATTGTATTATTTAGTTACTCGCTACTACTAACTTATCTTAAAGGGGAATTATTTCCATTCTCAAGATTCAGACATGTTATTTCTATGGTTAAGACAACAATGTTAATAAAACTATAAATAGGATTTATTTTTATTTTGTAATGCTACATATTTATTGTAATGTTTGTCCATAGAGTGCAGGACTTAACTGTGCCGTCAGTTGCATCCACGTATGTGTCCAGCAGAGAGCAGCCTCACTCTGTCTTATAAATGGACAAGAGGTGCTTGTTTTACATTCATATAGTTACACTCTTAAACAGCTTCCCAGTACAACCAGTCTCCTGCTGATGGCCACACAGTCACTCCATGTAGCAGCTGGACATTAACTTGCTGCCCCAAGGTTTGCTCAATCATCATATGGCGTTTGCACATTTCCAAAAGGGCCATGGCTCTCTAACCAACATCCTTTATTCAAAAACAAAAACAAAGACAGTCGTGCAAGTCAATATGTTCGTTTTTTTTTTTTTAAAGTGTGGGAGGTTCACCTGAGAAGCCGTACTGCTCTCCCAGTGAACACTGTGTAGGTGATGTTGAGGTGAAAGGACATCAGTAGGCACCAAACCTTGACTAAATACATTTGGTTCAAAAGGCAAAATTGTGTTGATGTCTGTATGTGGGCGGGTTTTTGCACTGTTGTTTCAACTGTATTGAATTTTCAACTTCATGGAGACACTGCAGTAACATCACTCACGTTAGTCATATTTATAAGCATGTTAATATGAGTTGGGTCACAAAAATCAAATCTAAAGGATCAACCGAGTCATTTCTCCCCTCATTTGTCCAGTTTTTAAGCAGCTCCCTCTCACGTTAGTTTGGTTTGGAACAATATTCTGCTGCGACACGGTGCCTAAAGGCATCCTGGGAGATTCTTATCACGGACATTAGAAGTTGCACTTTCACAGTATTGACAACAGGGCGCTCTCCTGTACCTCGCTCTGGCATCCTTTAACCCCGTAGAGATCTGTTCTTGCCGACTGACTGCTGCCTGGCTGGTCAATCAAATTGCTCAAACATCAGAGAAGAATGTGTGAATGTCATCTCTGCAATGTCCTGTGTTCAGCCAGCTGGTGATTAGGCGTTGTTGCCTCTGTGGTGGACAAAGTCCAAATTACACAGTTGGGCTGGTGAATGTGATCCCCGTCCTCCAGATGTCAGTTCATTTCATCTTTATTTGCATTGCCAGGCCTTTGCTCGGGAAATATGAGAGTCGGATGGTTTGATTTTGTGTAGTTTGAACCCTGCTGTGCACCTGCTTGTTTGTCAGAGGGTCACTTTGTTTTGTGTTTTTAGCCGAACATTTTCTTTTCATCCACTCTTTACCTCCCTGCATGGTAAACCAAATCAATCTCTGGGTCTCTCAGGAAAGAGGGATTTGCTTGTGAGTCTTTTTTGCGTTAATGACTTGATGCACATGGCCCGTGAGAGGGGAACACATTGGATAAGATTGTGCAGATAGTGGAAACGATGTATTGATTCCAGCATATTCTGCCAAGACAGTGTTCGCTTAATTCCACAAGATTAAATATAAAGTGGGATTCTTAGTTTTTAACCTCTGTGCTGCCTCTTTTTTTCTCCCTTGAAGGAGTTCACTGCACGCATGGCTTCAACCGGACAGGCTTTCTGATGTGTGCCTACCTGGTGGAGAAGATGGACTGGAGGTAAGAGATGGACCCCCTTTTAATCACTCGCTTCCCTGTTGTCTTGAGCGACAACACAAACCACACAACACGTAGCCCCCGTTACACACCCCCCCCACTAGCTTGCATCATTACTATAGACTATAGAGTCTTCTCCCGGTAGTTTTCTGTATGTGTGACGGCACAAGAAGTTGCTCTGTCGGTTCAAATCAACACAGGCCTCACAAAGATGCAGGCTGGTTGAATAATTTGCAGCAGCTGATTGGGGGGGGGGTGAGGATGTGTCTTTAGTCAGAGGTGGAGCAGCAGTCTGAGGAGGCTGAATCCCTGGAAGCTGTCGACATGTGGGCTGAATAAAACCCTCCCACCGCCCACTACATCCTGTGTAATGAATATTCTGAGAGCATCTACAGCCCTCGTCCAGTGTCACGTGTTGCCACATCATTTTACTATCAAATGATCAACACTGGTACAATGTGTTTTTTAAGATATGGCTAGTCATTGGAAAAAAAAAACAAAAAAAAAAACTGCCCTTAACATGAAGTTGTGCTTCGGGCTGCTACTAAAGATTATTTTCACCATTCGAAATTGTGAAAAATGTCCATCAGTATTTCCTAGAGCCCAAGGGAAAGTCTTAAAGGTTCTTCTTCGTCTTACCCACCTTCTGAAACCCTGAAAACATCCATTTAAAGCTGAAAGAATTAGTCGCTTTAGATAAACAGCAACCACATTGATCAATCAATTAACTTTTAAAGTAATTTTTCAAGCGAAAAAATGCTCAATGATGATGTGAGGATTTGCTGCTTTTCTCAAAATAAACCCCAAAACATTTAATGTCTTTACCCCGGGCTTCGGGTAAACTGTGATTGGGATTTCTCGCTATTTTGACTATTATAAAGACCAAACAAGATCACAAAAATAACTGTCAGGTTAGTGTATAAAGAAAAGCTCAGCTTCAGTCCCAATTAAATTAACGGTAATGTAAGTCATGCAACAGTTGCAAATGATCACATTTGCGACCCTGAAATTGTCGAATGTTTTGAAAGATTATCTCAATAGTTGTTTATTAATATTTGCTCTTGCTCTTTATAATAAGATCCGGTCAAATGATAAATTCACTAAAGACAGAACATTTAAAAAACTATATTTAAAAACTTCATGTACAATAAAAGAAATACAGCTTTTTAAAAGAGATCCCGTCTGTGTCTGCTGCCTCTTATCAGCGTCGAGGCAGCTGTGGCTGCCTTCTCCCAGGCCCGGGCCCCGGGGATCTACAAGGGAGAGTACCTCAAAGAGCTCTTCCGACGCTATGGAGACGAGGAGGACGCGCCCCCTGCCCCCCATCTCCCCGAGTGGTGCTTCGACGACGACGATTCCGGGGAAGTGGACGACGACGGTAACTCCGTTGGCCAGGAGTCGGGCCCCAGCTCCTCCGGGTCGGTGCCTGGCAAACGAAAGAAGGAGAAGCTAAAGCTGGTAAGACACCCGGGGGAGCTCCAGGAAATGGACCATTAAGTACCGCCGGTCCCGCTCTGCACCACATGGGCCTCATGCAGGGGGGATGGAGGGTCTGTAGGGAGACGTCTCAGTGGTGAAGCTCTTGCATGTTAAGTGTAGAGGCAATTCAAAGGCAACAGCAACATTGTTTGAACCGTAGAAATTCAATCAGAACATACATTTGTTGGTTTGTAACATTTGTACAACTTACAATTCTATCAAAATACCAACAGTGAATATTTATTCGTCAGTTATTGCACAGAACTTGCTTAAAAACCTGAATCAAGGCAAATCTAATAGTGGAGTCACACAGTAGACGGGTCTAGAGGGAAGAAGCCAGAGAGAGCAGCAGCAGTAACTCTTGTATATTGAGTTACTTTATTTTTTCCGACACTGCGTGTGCGCGTGATTCAATTTTTCTTTTTACAGAAACTGTAACTACTGAATGTTTGGCAGTTCTGCTTTAAAAATGACTGAGACAATTAACTTATTATCAAAATACGAGCCAATTAGTTTCCTCTGGTTTGGCTAATTGTTTAATTGACTAATCGTTACAGTGCTTCATGCCTCCTGTATAAACACGCTGTTCTACAGTTTGGTTTCAAGTAAAGCTTACAGTACAACACAGGTATCAGCATCTAAAAATATCATATATATATATATATATAATATTAATATCGCGATATCAGCCATGTCGCCCAGCCTCATCTCTACCAAGGCTTTCCAAATTTAATTAATTTTGTGTATTTTCACACGTTATGACTCGAGACTTAAACCTCCTTCTAAATAGAAAGGTGGAGAATAAGATGTATATGACCATGATGGGGCTTTCTCTTCTCACTGCAGCCGTCATACTAAAAACACATGCACCGTTGACACATGAGGTGACGTATATTATCATACCACATCTGTTTCTGTTATAATTGGCCTCTATTATCATATTATACCAGTTAGCAAGTCTCACCTAGTCAGATTTAGGGGAGGGGGGGGGGGGGTCATGTCAAAAGAGAAATGGGTGAGATTAGGAAGAGAGGTTAACGAGCAAGAATCACTCTTGGTGGAGAAAGGAATGCTACAGATGTCGTCAGTGTCTCGCTCAAAGCAGAAAGAAGATGATATCTGCATAAACGGGAGTGTAGGGGTGAAGGTAGTGAGGGGGTGAGGAGAGAGGAGAGAGGCGGCAGTCTAGTTTCCAGGGAGATGAAGCAGAGGTACAGGGTTTATGAGGCGGATCCATAAAGTAAATAAATAAATCGAGGATAAAAGCGTAGAGGTCAAAAGAAAAACTGCGTGTATAATATTTCCACCTGTTGTCTCTGCACACAGAGATTCATAAAGCAAAGAAGCAGCTGTTTGTGAAGCATCACAGGGCTTTTGAATGTTTTTCTTGTATGTGTAGGAGGGTATGAGTGTCTCTTTCTATTCAATCCAAGTTCAACCTTCTGTTTTATTTTAATCTCCCAGGGTGCAGTATTCCTGGAAGGCATCACAGTGAAAGGCGTCACACAGGTCATCACACAACCCAAACTAGGAGAGGTCCAAAGAATGTGTCAGGGGATGGCCGAGTGGGACAGGTAACAACCTCCCCGTGCTCTTCCGTGGCTCTGTGTACACATGCTGTACACGTGGGTGTACTGCTCTGTGTTGTAGGTGACTCATTTGTCGTTAATAACCCAGGGGTGACCCTTAATAGTTAACTGTTCAGTCTGAGGAGCCTGATTCGACTGCTAATCTCCCAGTCGAAGCAACGCAGTGGCGGAGAATGTGGTTATAAAAACAAAGGTCATTCGGGCGGGTATGGAGGTGATGAATGTCTGATTTTATTGCTTGATTTGCCCGATAAATCATAATTACAGTGGGTACGGAAAGTATTCAGACCCCTTTAAATTTTTCACTCTTTGTTTCATTGCAGCCATTTGCTAAAATCAAAAAAGTTCATTTTATTTCTCATTAATGTAATCGGCACCCCATCTTGACAGAAAAAAACAGAAATGTAGAATTTTTTGCAAATTTATTAAAAAAGAAAAACTGAAATATCACATGGTCATAAGTATTCAGACCCTTTGCTGTGACACTCATATTTAACTCGCATGCTGTCCATTTCTTCTGATCCTCCTTGAGATGGTTCTACTCCTTCATTGGAGTCCAGCTGTGTTTAATTAAACTGATTGGACTTGATTAGGAAAGGCACACACCTGTCTATATAAGACAAGATAAGAATAGATTTAGTCTTTTCTGGAGGAAAATGCCGCTGTAGCTTTTTTTAAAAGAAAGTGTAGGGAGTCATCTTGTCACAGCAGAAGTCCACGCTGCTATTTCCAAAGTCGTTGACTTTTTGTTTCCACCTGTGAGGGCAATTATCTGTTAATATAATGAGATCCACATTTAGTTACTACTGTCAAAGTATTGGCACAAAATCACAACTTCAGCAAAGTGTAAGCGCCACTCAGACTGCAGAACTTGGAGTGCACTCAGACACCAGGCGGGCACCGTGCGGCTTTATTTTGGTTTGTCTCGGGGTTTTCACACCGGCACACGTGCAACGTCATGCTGATCTAAATTGACGACTGTGCGCCAGATAACGTCTCGTTGAACCTGAGCAGAGCAGGAATAACAGAGTCTCTTCCGGGCACTTGAAAAGATGAAATGGAAACATATCACAGCACCTGCGTCTTCACCCCCTGCTGTTTGATTATTAGCTGATAGAGATTCAGCATCTCGTACCTGTCACTTCACATGCCGCCTGGTCTCCATTTAACCGAAATTATCCCGGCTCGAGCTGCTTCATAAAAGGGATACCCAGGTGTTGTTGCCTTGGCAACAACTGCTCTACCTGGGGTGTGTTGAAACATGAAAGAACAAAGCTGATGTAAGATATTTCTTCCTACAATTATGTTGACTATCACATTAACTCGTTTGATTTATATTACCTGCTTAACTCATTAAATATTTAATGAGTTAAAGAGGAAATAACCAAGTTAAACTATTTTATAAAGGTGTGTTTATGGGTATTGGGACAGACCGTGATAACTTATCGTCGTACATGTGTCGAGTGTGTAGCTGCTGCCTCTGCTGGTCACTCCTAACTGACTGAGGAGACTCTTTGTAATAATTGTGAAGCCAAGACAACAATTGAATCCCGTTAGAAACACAGTTGTAAGACGTGTGTGTGCGTGTTCATTGTTGTTACAGGTCTGGTTTTCCTGGTGCTCAGCCTGTGTCCATGGACAGACAAAACCTTCGTTTCCTGGAACAGAATCCATACAAAGTCAGCTGGAAAGCCGATGGCACACGGTAGGTCTATTGTTGGTGGTTTTTCTTCACGACAAAGGTCTCCTCGTCCACACATGTCAATACGGGCATCGCTCTTTGTGTCTCTGACTGGACTGATTGGCTTCTCTTCCCGTTCATTAGGCTGCTTTTTGAGAGTCATCATGGAGGTTGGTCCAGCAGCTCTGTACGTCAGAGGTGTTAATTTACCTTTCTGTATCGTTAGTGAAGACTGAGAGGAATGCTGACATGACGTCTTGTTTCTCATTAGATTTTAATCACAGTACCTTCATATAGCTAATCAATCTGAGCGCTCATTAAGCGGTAGAGATGTGAACTGTGGATTTGTAAAATGGCTTCACTGATGGAGCCACAGACTGAACAACAGGCGCAATAACGCGTCGTGTCTTTCATTTCACCTTTCGGGTTTTAATTTGTCGTTTTCTCCTGTTTATGTCTCTTTTGCCAAAAGCTAGTGTTGAGCAGGCACATATGATTTTTCTTTTAGTATTCCACTAGTCTGCTGTGAAGCACCGTGTCTCTCGCTGTGCAGTGTGCTGGTGAATATTTAATGACTGGAGTCAATTTCAGAATTTTACATATCGGTGCTTTAATATCCTGTAAGAGTGAGACCAGCAGAGTGCCGAATTGGCCCCATGACCAAGCTGTTGTAGATGTGTGTGTGTGAATACGACTGCCATCATCTGCAAATGCTTTGAGTGTTTTTAGAAAGTTTTGCTCTTCAGTGTGTACAGAGAGTGATGCTGAGCGCTCCCTCTCCTGCACGGATCTCTTGTCCTTCATCCCCAATTTCCCTCCAGCTATTTGCAGAGTCTCGCTGAGCAGCGACGCCGTATTTCTTTAGTCGTAGGAAACGGAGAGAGACACGGGATGAATAATGCCAGGTGTGATTCATTCCTCAACTCCAGGGTATGAACTATGATGAGAAGATGATCTACTGTGTTCTCTTGGAGTTGGAACATTCAAGCAGTAAAATATAAAGTTGAAGTTATTACTGTAGACTTACCCTACAACATATGGAATAAAGTCACATTTATTTAAAGCCCTGAATTAACAATGGATGTGCCCTGCTACCAATTTTTGAGTGTTCTGTGTTGTACATATTGGTAATCCCTCTAAATTTCATAAGAACATTTCTGTCAATTTAAATCACTGCCAGTGTAGCCAGAACCTGATACATCTTATTTCTCTGTGCCGAAGACCTCAATTGTTTCCAAAAACTATTAAAAACACATCAGTGAGTCACACTGTGGCACTGGATTACATGTTCCCTCATTATGATTAACGTGGGCACCGTAGTTTATTTTAAGTCTAAAATATTCTTTGGAGCTCCAACTATGTATTAATCCACGACTGAAAATAGTCCCCGACAAGTGCAGTTACAACTGGTTTTAATATCTGCTTTTAAAGAATTGCGTGTTGGATAGAAACACGCAGGCTTTGGCACTGCTGAGTGCCACAGAGGGAAGTCAGAAGGGAGACTAATGCTGCCTTCACATGGGGTCATAGTGGAAGTGGACACACCCAAGTTCATGATACTTAACCGTTTTGTTCAGCTAGATAATCTTCACTAATCAATACCAGCGGTGTTCATCACGACTTATGTGAGGCTTATCATGAACATGAATCTTCATGTCATAAACTCGCACGTTATTGGTCTTTGGGCCTTATGTGAGCTCTGACTCTGTTTCAGCCCATCTGGACCACCCACCATAATAATTCAGAGCTCAGCCTCACCAGAACATTTTGTATTTGAGTAATTTAGAAATACTAATTTATTTATCCTATGTGTAATTCAATCGGTGCCCGTCGTGTGTGTGTGTGTGTGTTGCATTAGAGATGAGAGGGTCTTGGTACACTCAGTTTTTTCATACCGCCTCCTGCTTGGACCCCCTCTCTTGTATCGTTGAAAGGCTACAGTCATTACCGTACATAATGTTAGTGTTGCCCTAACACATGCAGTACACCATGTAAATGAGGGAACTTGGAGATAAGCTGTGAGTAAAACTTAACGAAAGTAACGTAGAACAACATAGAAAGTGGTGTCCCATCCATGATTTTCTCACAATGCAGTAATGTGGTTTTTATTGGAGCTGCATCCTATCTTCTCATGAATAAATATGTTTTCTAATTTGTGTATAGAGTATTCGCAAGTTCTTCTACAGACTGTACAGTGTGTCTGACGAAAGCTATAGGACTCTGCAGAAAGGATTGCTGCAGTGTTGTCGGATGGATATTCACACAACTCGAGCCTTGCTGCCGTCCGCTTTGAGCGGTGAGGGACAGTCTGTTCTGGTGCTGCTGGTCTGATATTACTTCATTCTGTATCGTTGCTTTTTTTTAAAGCTTGCTACCTTATCAGTGCCTCACCGGAACCACGATGGTGTTTGATTCATCTAAATACGCCTCCTCTTTCTTACAGGTTTCTCACAAATTAGAAATTGTATTAGCACAAAAGCAGTAATGATTAGAGACTAAAAAATAGTCAAAAATCCATGTGATTATTCTAATTTCTTTGATTAAACTTACACAGGTCTTCCAGTTGTTGGTCTTCATTAAACCTGCTCAATAGTTCAGACTGATGGACAACAAGCAGCAGTGTGAAGGCCGAGTCAGAAGGATGTGGTTACGAGCAACGTCTATAAAAGATGATTGATTCTGTTCTTAATCACCAGTTCCTTGTTGCTCTATCAATCCTAAACTCTCTCCAATGATGGAAAAAGTATGAATTCTGAAAAATGTGGGGGACTTGCAAAGTGCATCAGATAATATTAATGAGTTTTGAGGTGAGAGTTACTGGTCGCAGTGCTGCGGGCGTAATTTGTCATTCGCGGCATGCGTTGTATAGAGTTTGCAGAGAATTGTCCCTACTTTCTCACCAGTGGCATTTCTTAAGAACTGAAATGGATTTTTAATAGGAAATTTGTCTCTTCAAGGTGGTCCGGAAAGACTTTTCTCTTTGCATATTACCAGAGGTCCTCACTTATGTGTTACGCATTTTAAACTCCCCCTCGTCTTACCTATTGTTACTTGGGTGATGATTTAAAAAAAAAAAAAAAAAAAGGAAGTGAGCAAATGTGTTTACTTTCTCAGTCCCGTGTGGATGATTACGTGCACATCTGCATCCTCTTCTTATGGCCCCGGGGTAATGCACAATATGGAGACAAGAGTACTGAACCAACTCCTCTTGCCTAAGCCAAAGATTATTCAGCTCTCCTAGAGACTCCTGATCACGTATTTCTACTGAATATTGGCCGACAACAATAAATCGGACCATTTCTAAGCCCGAATGCACAGACCAGTCATACGGGGGGAAAAGCTGTCACTGTCTGCCAAAGAGGTGGCTTCTAATGGGCTTTGGAAAGGACAGCAACATCAGTGGAGTTTGCCAAGAGGAGAAAAATAGGCCGAGTTGGATTTTTAATCAACTTGTTGTCGAAGCCTTCTGTCAGGGCTAGATTGGTTTGAGGACGAGGGGAAGGGAGACGGACCAATTATGTCTTTGGGAATTAAAACGAACGCCGCTGCTCAACTTAGACTTTATTAGCGTAAAATTGGACTTTCTTTTCAACCTCTTCTCCTATCAACACCACATCAGTCACTCCTTTAAAAAACGAGGCGTCAATAATCCAATGTTTGCTTTTAATTGCCAGATTAGATCTTTTGATTGAGAGAGGGAGTTTCAGCTCTTTTCTGTTTATTGGCTGGTTATTGTCAGAGCATCATTACTTCTGTAATTCTGTTGGTTAGTTTATTATGTCAATAACCCTTAGTGGACGCCTTGTGCACCAGACTGCACCAAAACTCTGCTTCTGTCTCAGGTTAATATTGAAACTAAAACTTTGGGCTGCTTATTTTACAAAAGTACAAAGTGTCTCGTATACAGGGAATTTGTAAACTGCATTACTGCACATTTATATTTACTGTTCATCTGTTCTGTAATGCTTTATAATAAAGGAACCACTGGGACACACGTTGCAAAAGTAATAATGTGGGTTTGTTGAGCTTTGTTAAGCACATACTCGGCTGCTGCTCAGGAGACAGTTTGTTCCTTTCTACATCCCTTGCTTTTTAGTTTGACACGCAGAGTGGTGCAGCGGATCATACAACTCAAGGTTCAGATCGTATCGCGGATCAGATTCACAAATCGGATCAGCACAAAGGAAAAAAGGGAGCAGATATAACCTTTAGAGATCTTATCGTGTTTATTTTGCCGCTGATATCAATTGCAGATCGTTGATGATCCATTTTGGCAGATACAGATGCCTTTGTTGTTTGATTATAGCAGCTGGTCTAGGAGGCTCCAGGCTTTTTTGTTACCGTCCCAAAAATCACTTCAACCGCTCTGTTATCAGTAAACCATCAAAAATTCAACATGTTATCCTTTTACTCTTTTAAAGTCATTTCAAGTGTTTTTTTTTTTCAAATGATAAGGAAATAAAAGATTATATTTTCATTGATTAAAACAAAACTTATCAGTGGTTTTAATGATAAAAGTTTTAATGATATAAGCGACTTAGAGCTTAGTGTAAACAGCTCATAATTCATCTCTAATATCTGTTTTTGTTGCTGTGAAAACATCTCCTTCAAACAACTGGATTTAATCAAGTTTCTCACCAACACTACATTTTACGAGATTACTTGAAACACATCATGAAAACCTTATAATTTACCTTTCGCCCAATACTAATTTTCACCGAACAGAGCCTGAACGCATCATAATGTAACCGAACAGCTCGTTGTCCATTAGCCACTTAACCAGCTCTCCTCCGGTCAATTACAACTCGGATTGGTTGTTTACAACGTAACATTATCAGAGATCGGTGAACAGAAAGGCGTAAATGGCGATGTCCTGATTGCATATTTTACTGAATATTGGCGGATAACGATGTCGGTAAAACTTTATTTCACACTGTGTTGGTTAAGGTAAACTGTGAAATGTATCCGCGGTTCACTTGTGTGCCGAACTGTCTTCATAGCCATGGTATGGGCCATGGCTAGTT